TATTTGTCACAAAGAGATTGATTTCATTTTCAAAAAAGAAAAAAAGTCGATTGTTTAAAAAGTGAGAGCAAGTGTTGACATTCAGAAGTACGCAAGTCTAATCTGACATTCCTACATTGTTCTGTCATTAAGTCTAAACATTCGTAAAACCACATTTCATTTGCTTTTTAAAGTAAAGCTAACTAAGAATAAATTAACAGGCCTGGCATAAGCACTGCATCTTTGATGCAACTAACATTCTTAAATACGCATAAATATCCATAAAAAACAATTACATCTAATTAAAGAGCATTAAATTATTAAGTACAAAACTAGTGTTCTATAACACCTCATAAATAAACACAGCATTGAATAGAAAGAAAAGGGAACATACATTGTAAACTTTGGCAAAGCTAATCATCAAGGGAAAAAGGTTCAGAGGGAGATTTGGCAACAAATATGTTTGTTTAAATTAATTCACAACTAAATTAAATTAAAAATAAATTACATTAAATAAAAAGAAAAATCGCAAATTGCAAAAACCTAGAAAGGAACATAGTAGTAATAGTAGACACAAATAATCTGTAAGTACTTAAACAAACAATGAAAACCTCTTTGGAACAGTTTTTTTGTTCTTTTTTTGGTTTGGCAGGTTGAGCCTGTGTTACATCCAGACAGAACTGCAAGTAGGAATGGAAAATGGCCGCCACCCCCCTGAGCCAGTAGCCACGCCCCACCCCACCAGTGGGCGTGGTCAGCACGATGGGAGGGTCAGGTGGGTGGAAGATTTCTTTGGATTAGAAGCTTTACATACAGAAAGAGAGAAAGGAAACTAAGGATAAAGCTACTTGACCGATATTTTAGCAGTTTCTCTCAGCGGGCGAAGTGTTTTTTGGTTTTGTTTCATTTACTGTCGTTGTGTATATGGAGCAGCAGCATAGTTCCTCCCCCCTAAAGAACACGCTGACGTTGTTCTGTCAGCGGACAGTTGGCGCCGATTATCACGGCCTTTGAGGCTCGTCCTCCAGCATGGCACTGTGGGCTATAACTAACTGTGGTCTCATGCTATTTTCATCAAATACAAACTTTCCCATCCAAGCTAGCAGCGCTTTGGTTCAGTAACAAAAACTTGTGTTCAGAATGGGGGAAATTCTTTTTTTAAACTTTTCATTTCATTGGTAGATTAAATTAGTCGTAATTGGTGAATGGTACAATTTGCGTCTTGAATCAACGTTTTTCAGCTGGTTCCTGCCGGGCTTTAAAAGGCAGAGAGTCCCAGGCGATGAGTTTGACGTCACTGTGGTTGAAGTTGATTGATCTAGATTGCAGATCCAGGATCTGTCCGGGACTCTTAAAATGAGCATGGAAGAAAGAAAAAGGTATGTACTGCTACTGTTTGTACAGCAAAGAATCTTTGGTATGTACTGTACATTTCTCATAGCATTACATAGTCACTCTCTCCGCAGTAGGACGTGTGCCGGACAACAGCCAGCAAGCGCTTTCACTCGATGACGTACCAAGCTGCTTGTGTCAAACACATGGACGTGAAGCAGGCGGGAAATCAGCCTGCGCTGTTGTCTGGCGGCTTTTGTTTCTACTGCTGGAGATTGTTGGAGGTAGACTTTGTCCTGTGGGTCAGGTAACGACTCGTGGTGTAAAGAAGAAACTCCCCAAGCGTCTTTTTCGAGCGTCAGAAGTTTGCGGTAATGTTTCGTCATGTGTTTCAAAGGAGAATAACTATAAAGGCTGCAAATGTGGGTGCCATGCTGAAGGAATGACCAATGCAATTACCAGATGTCTCCATAACAACTTTGTGAGACAGATACTCAGACCAATATGAGTATCTGCCGAAGCTAGCTCTTTGCTGGTAGGATACTAGCGTTTTCTCAACTTAAATAAGTCTACAAGGCAAACAGCCCAGAAAGGTGAATGAAGAGACAGCCGTGATTAGCCTACATGCTAACATAGACAGTCATTTCTGCGACAGATGAAGTAGAATGAGAGTTAGTGGATGAAAGGGAGGTTTTTCCTTCTCGGGGGGAGGAGGACTAGCGACTGGAGTTAACGGTGAATCTTTGGTTTGTTAGCTGATGAGGTTTCTGTTGTTCTCTTAACCGTATTTTTACTTTGAAAAACTGCATAGGCACACGTTAAAGACACTCTTCAACCGTGAGAGACACATTAATGTTCTGACGTTTTTTGGGGGTCGGAGGGAAGAAAATAGTCGACGGCGTCCCCCGTCGGTTCCTTGCCTCCTTCCCGTCCGGTTTGACCCTTTTCAGTCCCCAATTCGCTTCCCCTTAAAGATGGACCGATGCAACATCAGCAGAAAAAAAAAGCTACTTCTCCGATCCCGTGATGTCGTCCTTCCTCCTATCCTTGTCTTCGTTGTCGACATCCTCCATTCAGGACATCGTCGCCGCCACTCTTTTTTTTTTTGGTGTGTTTTTATTTTTTTGGTAATAATTCTCTTCCATCTTCAATTTTTCAGTCAGGTGCAGAAAAAGGTTTTCTTTGGTTTCGATTTGTCAATAAATAGAAAAAGTCACAAGAGTCCATTTGTTTTTAAAGTCTAAAGCGTCTAACCAGGCCGGGACTCAGCCCGGTGTTTTCTAAGGAGCAGGGGCTGCTGACTGACGCCTTTCCTTTGGTTTTGTTTCTATTTTTGGTTCGATAGCTTGAGTAAAGGATGATTTATGGGCTGATAGCGGACGGTAAGGCTGCTGAACTGGAGATGGAGGTGGTGGCGGTTGAGGTTTTTTGGGTGCACTAGTATTTACATCATATGTCAGGGCTGTACAGCGTGACGGATCAAAGTAAAATCAATGGGTGTTGCCGGATCCGATAGCGTCTTTAGACAGTAAGAGACAGGCAGAGAAATGGTGTCTCTGTGACTCAGTCCATCTGCACTTTCTACCAAGCATCCAACTCTACTACGCCGCAAACAAGTTCAATCTCAAGTTTTTGCTTTCAAGCGTTTCTTTCTTAGAGAGTTGGGTGCTGAATCTTACCACTATCGACAAGGAAACAAGTTCCTTTGATAAGTGGAAAAAGTTCATTTTTCTCATTAAAATGACCGATCTGCCAGCACGCTGACTTTGTGGAAGGGACGGACCTGCCGGGCATCATCTTTAGATTGTCCTCTTTATTACAAAGGCCCTGATTCGCCCTGACAGCTCGTCTTCCGCAGGTTCAGACAATGGTTCTGCTGCTGAATCGGTCACTTGATGCTTTAACAGTTAGCGTTTTTTAGGGGTTCCTGTGATGGAAAAGCATCTTTGTTACACTAAGGCTGCTTTCACGACAAAAGCTCAAATCAGTTTTATGTTGTGCGACATGTTAGAAGCATACTTTGACCTTAAATATCATACTTGTGGTTTTTAGTGGTCTAAAGAAAACAAAATGTAGCGTTTGATTGTTGCTAAGATGCTTGGCTGGAAAGCGCTGCCCTGATGGGTGAGTTAAGTGACGGAGGGTGAAGCCGGGGTAAACTTTGGGTCGCTTTGGTTTAGCTGACGACGTGTCGGTCAGGGTGGGGACACAAGGGAAACGTTTGTGAGTTGTGTGTCTTTGTGTAAAGTGTTTGCTCGTCTGTTTGTACATTACAGTGTGTAATGACAGAATGCCGAATGGATTCCAGCCACTGTTTAGAAAAAATGGTATCCTGAGTTTTCTAAGATGTGAAGACCACTCGGCTTGGCAGAGAGACCCGGTTCTATTGCAAAGAAAATGTGCTTCAAGATTGTGCTCACATATACTGTTTATATTCATATATAATACACCAATACGCTAAGTATGCCTTTCTGTCGGTGAACGGTTGTGTATCTGTGTGTTTGTGCTTGCATATTTTGCCATTTACTAACTTTAAGAATCCGCATCGCCCCCCTTAAAGACTCCAATTGATACAATTTGTTTCTTTGGTAAAATTGAGAGTTTTCTCTGCAAAAACTGAGGAAAATGTCATAATTTTGTAAGTAAAAATAAAATGAAGTTGGTTATAATATAAGAAAATAACAACCCATCTACAGCCTGGATCATATATATGCATTCCAGAGATCAACTTCAGGGACTTATTTTCCTTTTGAAACCAATATAGAGCATTTTGGACGAGGGGGGGGGCAGACTTTGGTTCGTGTTTGTGAGCCTGGCGCTTGAAACAAGGACAGCACAGCCAAATGAACACAGGGTTGGACTGTATTCTCCTCCGTCACTCAGACATTAATTGACACGTACGTGAACTGGCCAGCTGGACCTGATGATTTAGAGGAATAAATAGTTGAATGTTTGACTGATCATCTGAACACAACGACCTCTAGCGGTTCCCGAGCACACTGAGCACACGCACTCCGAGCCGGTACGAGGGCCGCGCACAAAGACTGTTCTTCAAGCGTGTCATGGCTCGTCAAGACCGAGGAATCATCCCCTATACATCTTTGGTTTGGTTTAAAAAATAAAACAAAGGTAATCCACTATCCAACTTCACACTAAGCTGCACAAACAAATTACAATTCAGACTCCAGCTTTCTGAATTTCACTGTGCGATCTCTGAAACCGAAATCCTCAACGTGAACGTCTTCAATTCTGCCCAAACAGACGCATCTTCCACTGGTTTCATATTTGGTCTGTTGGCTCCTAGCTTATATATTGCATAATAGAAAACATACACTGTCTTCTAGTCTTTGGTATTTGGGCTAGTGTGTCAGCTTATTGTCCTAAAGGAGACATCAGCAGAGAAACTATTTGGTTTAAAAGTTGTTTTTTGTGAGGTTTTTATGTTTTATAGATGAGCTTACCCTTCGGCTTTGTTATGGATTCGTGATGGTTAGGCTACAAACTATTAGTCGCAGTGAGCAGCCCCTCTCTCACTTTGTCACCCTTTGACAAAACAAATAAAAAATATGTAAAAAGTTTGGTTTTTCCTACTGGCTTCGACCGGACAAAACCTCGACCCGCGCCGCTCCGCCCCTCCCCCTCCCCCTCCCTTAGCCCCGCCCCGCCCCCGCCCCCGCCCGATACTCGTCCCTCCCCCGCGTCCCCCCGCTAGCCATCTATCATCACGCTTTGGTACAAGTGCTGGACGCCGAGGACTGGGCGCCGGGGCTGCCCCCGTCGTCCGTCCATTTGTCCAGGCTGCGGCGGCGGGCGTTCATGAAGAAGTTGCTGACGGTGGTGAGTTCGAGGCCCAGCTGCTGCGAGATGGTGAGCTGCATCTCCTTGGACGGCCGCTTGTTCTCCTTGAAGATGGCCAGCAGGGTGCGCCGCTGCAGGTCCGTGAAGACCAGCCGCGACTTCTTTGGCGTGTTGTTGCGGTCCTTTGCCGTGTCCTGCTCCTTCCTCTTGCACGCTGTGTGGGAGATGAAATAAGTCTCAGTGTTTGGTGTCGGATTCTACTACATTTAACCAACTCAGCTCAGGCATCCAACACACAGGAGTCACATGACAAGTAGAACGCAGTGGGAAAGGATGAGGTGTAGTGATTGAAGGATGGACGTTTAGTCATTCAGCTTTCCGCTTAACCTCTTTGGTTCATTTCAAATGAACTCTCTGTTTTGTTTTTTAGGGACGGGTGGAAACCTGTTTCTGTCGAGCCGAACCAAAAACCACAACATGGCGACGTGTTCCAAGATGGCGATAGTGAAATCACACAACTTGAGCGAGTGATGAAGTGGACGAACACAGTAGTGAGTCTGAGTCGTGGGTGGACCACGTCATACCATTCTGTGCTGTAACTGAATCCTAGTATGAGATAATATGAACGAAGCCCTATCTTTATTTCAGAATGAAGTTTCCAACTTTACTCTATGGAGCCGTAGATGTGATCTGGTTATTTTCATCTATTTTTTTCTATTTACATCTGAGTGGCACACTGACTTTTTTGGATTGAGCTCAAAAATGACATGAAAGTAAGGCAACAGAGAAATGACGTATACGGAAGGAATAGTAACACCAGGGTGAAATAGAATTCTTCATAAATATTGAAATACATGTACAGAGTGGAGGGACTTTTATGTATTTAATACACCGGTACACGGTCATTTAAAACAGATATTCCTGCTCTCTGAGACTTTTTTATGACCATGAGTTTAAAGGAAAAGAAATCAAATCTTTCAACAATATAATAAATCAATTTAATATAATTGCAGTTGCTAGTAGTTTTACAGCACTTTTATAATTGATTGCTGACACTCTGGAGGAGGTCTGGGTGCGTTTGATTTGATTACTTCTCTGTATTAAGTCAGTACGAATCAGGATCTATTGGCGCTGTAAACACAAACACACACACAGCTTCTTCTCACAGCGCTTGTCGACCTCTGGACAGATGCAAATGCAGATGAAACTTGTGTTGTTCTGCTGCTCTCTGTTTTGTGATGATGTGTTTTTATATCTTTCATGATCAATACACACATCTCACGTTCACAACGAGTGAAACATCACAACACGCCATGTTTTCATGACTCTATTCTACTTATGTCGTGCGTCCTTTTAGATGCATCCTGATGAGTTTGCTGTCTTTTGGCGACGTGTCCACCACCATTAACTAAAACACAACGCTGAATATTTCTTAAGCTTAACATGGAGGCTATTCGATGGCTTTTAATCCTTATAATCCCTCTATTGAAAAGGACCCTGTTGTTCATGCAGGTGGAGACTCTCCTGTTCTCTGTGCACGTCGGTGAAACACGGTGAAGAATGGAAGCTGTCAGGAGTCGTAGTACAGTTGGTCACTGACAGGCGGTGCTGTTGATCTCTGCATGTGACACCCACACATACACTTGGTTTAAAGGTGTGTAAACATCTGTTTACCTCCTCATAGGGACCAAATGCACGTCCCCGTAAATCCTTACATGCTTTACTTGAAGGAGTTTGGGTTGGAATCAGGACTACACAAGTAGTGCTTATCATTACAGGATCGTATAGTACATTTAGGATCGAGTGGAATGGAAACATGTGAACAGATCGTCACATCTGCTTAAAATCACCACACGTAAAATGTCAACATGTTGGGAATAAGACGCTCAATTGAGATGATGGTGTATTATTTGGAAAAGATATCACCAGAATCTGCTGGTCTTTTAATTGAACTCTAGAAAAACACACATCATGTCAATGCACATTTTGTACGTACCACCATCAGCTTTCAACATGTTTTCATTAAACCAGTTTACTCCCCCCTTTGTAAAGTCGTGTTATTCCTGAATTATTATTATTATTATTGTAGTGGATTTAAAAGTATTATTTTATAGATAGGAAACATTCCATAGTGTTCATTAAAGAGCGTTGCTATGGAACCAAACCTATGTGACGGTTTTGTTCTTGTTTATTCAAAGCCTAAACTAGAAAGGATCTTGGACATTGGACCTGACTATTTACTGGCTTTGTGATAAAACATCTGACTGGGAGCCAAAGTATGTTTCTACCAGCTGAACTGATAATAGCTGGTACCACAAATGTGTCTTTTCTCTTGGAAGCCCAAATAATATCTATTTAACTGTTAAAAAATGATTTAAGATCAAACATGAACACTGTTACATACTTAACCGACTACACCTGCTATCCTTGTACAACTCGTTATGCTTACTGCTAATATGTATTTTAGTATTACTGCTAGTGAGCCAAAACCCACCAGGCTTTTATTGTCAATTTTATGAAATCTCTTTTCCAATGAACTTCTTTTGTCTATTGATAGAAGGAAAATCCTGTCTGCACATTAATTAATATAATATGGTAAGGATGATACTATAAGAAAATAAGACTAAAAAAGGTTGTACAAACACAGGAGCGATAGAAACAAGATGAAAGTAGATGAAAGCATGAAATGGAGTGTAATGGTAAAACCAGCAGAGACATATTAAACGTTTTAAAAGTGGCTTACTAATACTACTACTACTACTACTACTACTACTACTACTTCTAATAATAATAACATTAATAATAATAATGACTCAGATCAAAATACGTTGCTAAAACTACTGTAAATTAGTTAGATAAATTCATATTTGCTGAAAATATACATACAAAAATACAAAAAAAGTGTCTTCAAGATTGCAGTTTATAATTAAGGCTACAGAAAAATAAAATTCATAGGATTTTTCTGTGTTTGTTTTGCACCTGGCATTTCCTGACTGGACTTGTGTTGATCACCGTGAAGCTCTGGTAGCTGTGAGTAACTGGAGGTACTTCCACCTGACAGAAAAGAGTATACAGGGTTTTATTTTCACTGGTACTTCCATGCATATTTCATGCATGCACATGAAACACATCGGTTGACAGATCTGAGCTGACTGCCTGCCGCCCAATTATTTTCATTTACACATATCAACTCACATTTCACTCTCAAGTGTGACTGATTTGATTTATATAATTATAACCCATTTTGTAATGTTATTATATTACATAACAACTTGTATCGGTAAATAAGAAGAAAAAAACAGTGGAAATATTGTACAGTAAATAATGCATTGTTTGTACACTGACAATCAACCCTTCAGTTACTAAAACATGTCAAACTGTACTTGGCTCTTATTGCGGACCGGCCCAGAAAGGACTTAAAGCCCCAAAACAATTAGTTTTCAACCAAATCAAACCAGGTTTCAATAGACACTCAAACCAGGTTTCAATAGACACTCAAACCAGGTTTCAATAGACACTCAAACCAGGTTTCAATAGACACTCAAACCAGGTTTCAATAGACACTGCTGCGTGTCATTTGAAATAATTCCCACAGTAATTTCCCATTTCCATACTCGTATAAATTAATTTGAGTCCTGAATAGAGACGCACTGGAACAGATACTGATATCAGATATCAACAGCTGTACCAGGTACGGTATCAGATTCTCTTAATAAACAAGAATATAACACATTCATCTTTGTATTAATTTGTTACATTTTGTTCGACAAAGTCAAGAAAGCAAAGTCTGATGTTGAAGTTTATTTTAAACTCAAACACATTTTCCCCATATGGCCCTAATGCTTTTCCGTACAATTGCTGGCTTCATTTCTGTGTTTTTTGGCATATATATATATATATATATATATATATATATATATATATATATATATATATATATATATATATATGTATATATCTGTATATATGCATACATACATATATATTATACATACATACATACATACATACATACATATATACATACATACATATATATATATATGTGTGTATAAATTTTGTATTCAGGATTTTCCACTCTACATAATAACAAGAATAACAAATGGATCATTTGAAACTTGTCGTTGGCACAAACCATGGTTGAAAGGCAGGTTGGAGGCAGTACTGGTCTGATTTTAAAAGTTGTTTGAGCTGAATTGCTAAAGGACAAACAAACATATCTCCTGTGCAAAGAATCTCCCCAATAAACAACAAAAATAAATAAATGTTCGATAAAGGTAGTGAAAAACGGCTTCCTCTCCATCATCTCCATCTATCCGTCATAAGCAGCTCGGCAGCAGTTCCCTCCAGGCTTTATAGATAAAATAAAAGTGCATACGTATTTACGTTTGGGCAATGAAAGTCACCCACACACAGACGCCGTGTGCTGTCCGGTGGTTCAAACACTTCTTCCTTCTCCCTCCCTCTGGTCGAGGTTACAGGATCAAACAAGCAGTTATATTATTCAAAGGGGGGTTTACCGGTTTGAAGAGGGGGCGATGGCTATTCTCTCACACTAAGGGTTGAGTCAATTGGATCAATAAAGTAGAGTTCCTCTGTCTTCTCTCAGCTCCCCGAGTCGCTCCACATGTCAGCGTGTTGCTGAACGCAAACGAGATCAGCAGAAAAGGGAAAGAACGTCTTCGTCGTCTCTTTCTATTCCTCCTCTGCGTGTGACTCAGCTGTCGTCATGGTTATTATCTAATATCACATCATCCTCTTCATGTTGCACCGTCACAACATCACACATTCACAATTATCGTGTTCAAAAGAGATTCACAATATCAGCGCTGTCACAATATTCTGAGAAATAAATATAAAATAGTACAAAAAAATGATGGAATTCAGATATTATGTTTAATAATATGATACTAATAATAAAAAGGATTTCATTCATCTTCTTGTCAATACGCATCTTGGCAAATGGGAGGAGCAGAATGTGAACACAACTGCCTGTAATCATGACTGCATATCTATGCACTGATGTATACACAGATATATCTAAACTCATAACTACCACAATTATCTTCACCACACTGGTTCACATTAACGTGATCATTTGATGACATGAACATCATGTTCATCACATCCTATTAGTCCTTTTTCAGAGCCTCGTGTCTTGAAGATGAAGTCCCCTCTCATGCTCGTGAGGTTCGGAGCTCAGGTGAAGGTGTGACTAGTCTAGTTTTTTATCACTTCCCAAATCCCAGCAAATCTTAAACTCAGTTAGTGCTTTCTTAGGGAGATGCTGTGCAGACTGGAAGTATTTCTTAGCAGACAACAGCAGTCCCAGGAGACTGCGCTCAGCCTCCTTGAAGCCTTTTCAGCTCGGGGAAGCTGCCAGCTTTGCTACAATTGGGGACAAAACCTGCGACTGCATCTGGCAACCTGTGCAGTCACTGGAGGTGGTGGACCTGAATTTTCCACCACTCGATTATTCATTTGTCGCGTGGAGATTCGTTTCGAAATTTGGGTGTTTATGAACAGAGAATCGTCTGTTTTTCAAGGGGACGAGTCAAGCTAGAGGCCTCGTCGCCATTGCTTCTGTTTGCGCGTAACACACGTGGCGCTCGGCCCGAAAGGAGTGTGAAGAAACGTCCAGAAGGCAAAGGTGAACTTTTAAAGCATGCTGAGTTAGCTACTCCATTCCACAAACCTCATGTGGGAAATGACTGACAACACCAAAACTGTTATGACCAGCATCCAAATCATCAGCGTCAACGTGACCATCAAGAATCCATCAATCTTTCAATCATTGTCACCAGAGACAAGAATCCGTCTCATAACAGCTTTCATTCTTATAATCATGATTATTTTAAAAACACAAGATCTCACTATCCTCCCACAAGTGCTTGTTGAATCACAATTGTCTTCCTTATGCGTATCACCATTTTAAAGTCAATATGGCTGTATGCTTGCAGAGGTGGTCATGTGGAACTGTTGTAAATAATAGGCACTGACGATTCAAATGTACTCTCACCTTTCTGTTTGTCCATTCATAGCTCACTGTGTTTATTCACACTAACATGGTGCACCTGCTGCTGCTGCTCCTATCATCATCATCATCATCATCATCATTATTATTTTAGATATTAATCACATTACTGTACTCATAAACCAACATTACCCTCTCCTAAAGTCTCTGTGCTCTCCCTCCCCACAGGCTTCTGTGGATGGTGGTTCTATGTGATGGTGGTTCTACGTGATGGTGGTTGTATCTGATGGTGGTTCTATGTGATGGTGGTTCTATCTGATGGTGGTTCTATCTGATGGTGGTTCTATGTGATGGTGGTTCTATGTGATGGTGGTTCTATGTGATGGTGGTTCTATCTGATGGTGGTTCTATGTGATGGTGGTTCTATGTGATGGTGGTTCTATCTGATGGTGGTTCTATCTGATGGTGGTTCTATGTGATGGTGGTTGTATCTGATGGTGGTTCTATGTGATGGTGGTTCTATCTGATGGTGGTTCTATGTGATGGTGGTTCTATCTGATGGTGGTTCTATCTGATGGTGGTTCTATGTGATGGTGGTTCTATCTGATGGTGGTTGCCCCTGCAGTGGTCCTGCTGTGCGCCCGGGTTACTACTCACAATTACTTGAATAATTTGGTAAATGGTAAATTGACTGTACTTGTATAGCGCTTTTCTAGTCTTCTGACCACTCAAAAGCGCTTTACACTACATGACATCAATCACCCATTCACACCCATTCACACACTGATGACAGGAGAACCACACACAGTGACACCTGCCATCAGTAACTACCATCCACACACTGTAGTCGCAGCTACAGGAGCCATGTTGGGTTAAGTGTCTTGCCCAAGGACACATGGACATGCGGGTTAGCAGGACATGGGATCGAACCGACAACCCTCTGCTTGGAGGACGACCGTGTCCCCACAGTCACCCACAGTCGCCCCCAATCATTTCTGTCATATAGTCTCATGTATTACACATTGTTCATTCTGTACACATGACATCATTGTAGTCTGTCCATCAGGAGACGGATCCTCCTCTGACGTTCTCACTAAGGTTTCTTCCCTTTTTTCCCTCTTGGAAGGGTTTTTTCATTTTTTGGGGAGTTTTTCCTGTGCCGATGGAGGGTTTCGGGACAGAGGATGTTGTATGTGTACAGATTGTAAAGCCCTCTGAGGCCAATTTGTAATTTGCGATTTTGGGCTCTACAAAATAAAATGAATTGAATTGAATTGAATTGATAAGGATGTCAGAGTACAGTTAAGGTTAACGCTACTTCCAAAGTTACGGGTGAGGGCTCTTTAGCATTTAAAGCAAACTACATTAGCTTGCGGGGTTGCAGATTATGTCAAAGTCCCATCCATGACTAGCACATCCCTTGTGTAGTCAATTCCTGCCCAGAGGATACTGGTCCTGGATAATGACACATAATATATTTATCTTCATCATGCAACTATGAATCCCTGTCTTGAGCACAGTACATCTGATCTCCTTCATGCTTGCTGATTGTGTTCCTCGGGAACAAAGGTGGCGCCATTTGGATGCAAAATACGTTCAATGGTGAGCCAACTTGTTAACAGGCTCATTCTCTGCACTTTTGTACCTGTATGTGGTGTACCAATTGGCGGGCTCTGAACAGTGGCCTTCGTTTGATTAAATTAAGCTTAAGCGCAAGTTCAGTCAGGAAGGCAAAACTCTGTTTGCCTCCCTTGTAATGGCCTCCCTCGTCTGATTGGGGGCGGGCACATTTTAGTAACCAATCAGATTCTACACATGGTTTCCTGGAGCCAATCACGTCGTTGCTGTCAAACTTTTAAAAGTGTTCTCCTCTCTGTTGGCGGTCAGCTGTCATTTCAGCGTGTAGCTGATGCGACCCTCCTCCCCCCCAGTCACCCCCAGTTCCCCCCAGTCACGGCAGTCCCCCCCAGTACCCCCAGTCACCCCCAGTTCCCCCCAGTCACCCCAGTCAGTATCGGCGTTGTTCCTGGTTCGTCATCAGGTTGCTGCTGTTCCTTTCACCACCACCACCAGTGTCTGGACTCCAGGGGGATTTGGCCTATTGGA